GCATCTCCAAAGCTTTAGGCTGTTATTCTCCCATCCTTTCCAAGCTGGTTCCTGAGCTTGGAGCCCGGAGCAGCGCCCGGAGCGGCACGAGAACCCCCTCAGTTATGTCACTGGGATGTATTTTGGGAGTTTTTGCTGAAAGGAAACCGCAGTTTCGTGTGGGGAAATCGCTCGGCGTGGCGGCGGCCGCACAATGCAGCGGCCCAGCGAGAACACTGGACGGGCTTTACGGGTGCTTAGGCATGGAAAGAGCCATCAGCAAATCTCAGCTGGCTTTTCAGGAGGGTCAGGCCAGTCCCCCCCTTCACCCCCCACCGTGTCACAGGCAGGAAAAACGGGCACAGAAAGGGCAATTTCGGGCACTACGCGGAGGCAGCAAAAAGCAGCTGAGAGTCTCCGTGGTTTCCTTCCTCAAAATTACCCTGCCCCTGCTCTGAGCAGCACAAAAGCTGAGTCCAGCAGGGATACTCTCCCTGTAGGATCGGTGGAATCGCAGCTCTCCAAGGAAGGGGCCAGGAAGAGGCAGCAGCTTCTGGATCATCAAGGAAGGACATGAACCTGCTGGAGCAGGGCCAGGGAAGGCCAGGGCTGGAGCCCCTCTGCTCTGCAGCCAGGCTGGGAGTGTTCAGCATGGAGAAGAGAAGGCTCCAGGGAGAACTGAGAGCCCCTTCCAGTGCCTAAAGGGGCTCCAAGAAAGACGGGGCAGAGTTTCTGGCAGTGCCTCTTGTGACAGGACAAGGGGAAATGATTTTATGCAAGAAGATTTAGACTAGATACAGGGGAGAAGTTTGTTGCACTGAAGGTGCTAAAACCCACAGCTGAATGTGGCTGGTTTCCTGAGGGAACTGGGAGTGCACCTGTGGCTCCCTGTTTTCCTTGCTTACATAGAAATTGGGAGAGAACCGATTCAGAACCATAGGGCTGAAGCCCCTCTGCCCTCTCTGCTCCTCCTGCCTGCACTGCCTGGCTTGGCCAGTTCCCATCCCTGTCCCTGTTAAGGTGTCCCTGCACGTGGAGGAGCAGAGCACAGAGCAGTGTCTCGGTGCAGGATCTGTCCCCTGAGCCAGCAGACAGGGTTGTGCAACCCTGCCATGAGATGCTGGTGTGCAGATCTCACGTGGGGCCCCAAAGGATCTGATACAGCAAATAACCCCTGAGATGGGGCAGGGGATCACAGAATTATAGAACAGGCTGAGCTGGAAGGGACCTTAAAGCTCATCTCGTTCCACCCCTCTGCCACGGGCAGGGACACCTTCCACTATCCTAGATTGCTCCAAGCCCCGTCCAACCTGGCCTTGGACACTTCCAGGGATGGGGCAGCCACAGCTTCTCTGGGCAGCCTGTGCCAGGGCCTCCCCACCCTCACAGGGAAGGGTTTCTTCCTTATATTTAATCTAAATCTCCCTTCTTTTAGCTCAAAAACATCTCCCCTTTTCCCCCCCCTGCCCCTGCAAAAGAGGTGACACTGCCTGAGGGGTGGTGGGTTGGACACTGGCACTGAAGCCAAGACCAGGCTGTAAACTCTGCATGAACCTGCTGCCACTGGCACCTCAGCACTGGGAAAGGCAACCCCCAAATCCAGTGCTGCCACACACAAAAGGCTCCCAGTGCACAGTTCCTGTAATCCAATTCCACGCAGGACAAACCTCCGGCGTCCTCCACCTTCCCAACAGCAGCTCCATAAAACAGGACACTTGCAAACCCCACAGACTGACACCAGAATAACCAGGGGATTGCCTTTGCCTCCTGCCAAGGATCCAGTTACATCCCACTGAGCGCTGGGAGGGAAGGATCAGGGTTTCATAAACAGGAAGGGGATGGTGTGAAGAACTGCAGCCCGAGGAGAGGCAGCTGCTGTCACATCCACAACCTGCCCAAGCGGGAATGGGGGGGTCTCCCAGCAAAGATTCCAGCTGCTCCCCAGGAA